CGAGAGGGCCGCGATGGAGGCCATCCGCGGGGACTATAGGCTTCCGGACGTGGGTCAAGAAGACAGGGAGAAGGTTGACCCTTACACCGTGACGGATGAAGACTTGGCTGCGTCGGTAGACGCGTTGACTAGGAGGTTGAGCAACATGCCTGAATGGTCGGGCAATCTGATCGACCCTGCGAAGTCTGCTGAGCTAGTCGCGGCGAGGTGGGGCGGAAAGGCGAGTTATGACAAGCCTGAGGCTCCTATGACTGAGGCTGGGATGAAGAGTGCGTCATTGGAGGATCGTGCCTATGCTCTGTCGCAGCTGAACCAGATGGTGAACTTCCACAAGAAGCACCTATGCTGTGGGCGAGGAGCGCCTATGGTAAGTGCAGCTGCCCCCAGTGGACCCTTTGCTCCTGATCAGCTGGATGATAGCAGGAGGTTCAGACCTAGTGAGGCGGCGAGCAAGATGACCTACAATCTTGTGATCCTGGATGGGAGGAAGGATTATCTTGCCGATAGGCGGGAAATCAATCCAGAGTTGAGGGAAACTGGGGTTATCCCTGATGAGGCCGCTACATGCCAGATTGTGGTTCCCTCGAAAACAAGGTTGGGCGAGTACCTCCCGAGCTACGAGGAGACCGCGGGCACCGTCGCAGGGCGGGAGGCGGCTAAGGAATTGATGAGACTGCTCTCGTGTAATTTCGAGGGTCTGGTCATCAACTCGAAGAGAGTCTCGGAGTTATTCGAGGAACGTGTGCTGAAGGAGACCGGGCGTGAGGCAGAGTGACCAGGCCATCTGGTTCCTGAAGGAGATCTCGGGCATGGAGAACGCCGAGATGTCGTGGAGGTTCTTCATTCCGACGCTCAAAGCTTTCCCGATAGGGCAAGTTGAGGCGATGCTCATGGTCATGTACGACGGGAATGGTGTCCTCCTCAAGGAGAGCACTAGGTTGGTGGCTGTTAGGCACACGCGGATTGGACGCGACATGAGTTACAGTGCCGTTAGGCATAGGTACACTCAAGAAGATGCACCTGGCGGATCTCTGATGTACGAGATGCATTGGAATGAACTTTCCATGGTGGGGTACGTCATTATGAAGTTCTCGGACTTTCGGAAGGCGGTTCAGCTCCAAAGGGTGAGGCGAAACGGAAAGGCCATGATCGAGATATTGATCACGAGACCTGATGTGTACGAGACCATTGGGGATGGTAGGCAGGATGAGGGTCTGATCCCACTTGTGGGAGCCATGGCGCCGGATGCCGAGGTATCGCCTTCGTGGTATGTCAGAGACAGGCTGCGGAACTACTCCGGTAGGTACGTGGTGGTAATGGTGGACCTTCGGGTGCACTGGTCCTTGGTTGGGCCCGTGTTTTTGACGAGAAGGAAGACTCTTGCCGTTAGGAACGAGATCCACATGGGAGCTTGGAAGGCGGCGTACATGTACGATGATTACACGATAGTGTACCATCGGGCATGGGACTATGGTGACTTCACCCCCGTTAGGGGAGAGCACAGGCGTTCGCGGGAAGAGGTCCGGTTGAGTGTGACTACCACGTTCTGTTTGAGGTGCGCGGAGATGACGCCAAATGGGATGCATTTGTGTCCTGGCTGCGCGCTCCCGGTCTTTTACCCGAACTTCATCCCCAACGCGGAGGAAAATGACTTCGAGAGGTGCCGCATCGTCCCGGAGTGGGTGAGGAGCATGGGGCAGTTCAAGCCCAAGCAAGAGGAACTTGATTTCCTATTCGATGGCGTCTGATCTGAGGATGACGGTGCAGAGCGGCATCAGACTGCCCCCTTATCTTGGTGAAGACAAGGGAGGAGTGGATACGGCGTGGGATGAGCTGGCGAAGGTGCTCTTCCAATTCTCCTATGTGTCGGGGATCTCGGCATCAGATGCGTTCGTGGAGAAGTGGGTAGCGAAGCACCTGATTTTGACCAATCAAGTCGATAGATTTGAGTCGGTCACGGAGTACTTCCGGGCTAACCCAAGGCATGCTGCTCAGTGGGGTAGGCGTATGACGACTTCCGTCAGGAAGTTCGCTCGCCATGACACGTACTTGTCCTTCTATATTCCGATGGCGTACGTGATCGGCTCCGCGGCTGGTCATCTGACTCCATTGTATCCGACCCATCGGAAGGACGTGGACATCCTGGAAAGTCATGCGTTGATATCGCAGCTCAGGCAGTACATGGTATCGGAGACAGGATACGATGAGAAGAAGAGGTTGAAGGAGGCGATAGCCAAGGTGCAGAAGGCGATCAGTGCCGGACAGTCGGAGCCTCCCGCACCCTTCCGCGACCCGTTCGTCTACGTCAGTGACGAAAGGGTGAGGACGGTTCTTGATGGTCGTCAGCCCGAACCATTAGACGTGGACATCGAGGGACTTCAATCGGTGCATCATGCACGCCGGGTCCCGGTCCCAAGCAGGAGCCGGTCATCAAGGGCGGAAAAGGAAAAGGAAAGAAGGGGGAAAAGGGCGGTAAGGGCGGTAGTCCTTCCGGCCCACCACCGAAGTCAGGTGAAGTGCCAGGTAAAGGATCTGGTAAGGGCGGTAGCCCATCTGTCCCAAAGGCAAAAGCAAAAGATGATACTGGACCAGCTCCGATGGAGGTTGATGCAGCAGCGGCTCAGCCGAAGAAGACTTGGGTCGCGATAGCGGTTGAAGGGGCCAGGCCGAGTGCGAAGGCTAAAATGACCCCGGTTCCAAAGGCCGAGCCAAAAGGGAAGGCCGCTTCTGTATCTGAGGCGAAGAGTGCTCCGGCTCCGAAGGCTGAGGCTAAGGAGACGAAGCAGGCCGAACCGAGGGTTGAGGTCAAGAAGGAGAAGGTAGGCGGAGACGACGCTCCTGGCGGTAGTCGGGGGTCGGCTGAAGGGCAGAAGAGAGAAAGGAAGTTGTGTTGGGATCCTGACGAGACTGTGAAAGAGTCAACGAAGCGAGAGGCATCGACGAGGCCTGATGACGTTGACAGCAGACCAGGTGCGGCAGCAAGAGAGGCTAGTGGAGATGATCTTCACTCCGCGCTTGGCAGATCTTCGGCAAAGGATGCGGTTGCGCCTTTGACGGCATCCAAGGCGATGGCAAAGAAGCCTGAAGGCGGGGAGATCGCTCTGGGAGGAGGCGTAGGGAATCGGATGTTTCCCGTACTCCCTCTCGGAGGTCCGTTAGGACCGTGGACACCAGGGATTCCAGAGAGTCGAGAAGGCGCAGATACCGTCCACGGCGCGAGGATGATCGAGACCGGAGGAGGGACGATGCTCGTGATCGTCGTGATGATGATTCACTTGATCGGGAGCGAGATCGAAGGCGAGATGATCGCAGGAGATCCGAAAGGGATCGTGATAGGGACCGTGCGCGGGATTGCGGCCGACAGGCTTGCGTCCATTCTCCAATGGTCGGCGCGGTGCGGAGGTGGTGATGTTCCTCCCGGACCGCTGAGGCGCGGAGGTCATGTCTCTCCCATACCGCTGCTGGGCTGCTGGACGTGTTCATCAGGAAGCAGTGTGAGTGAGAGGGAAAGCAAACTGATGGGGGGTTACTCCCGGGTTTGCGGAATTCAAGCATTTTTCAGGTACGCATGGTCAGGAGTACCTCTTGCCGTTAGGCGAGGGTACTAATGGACATACGTTATCTTTTATTTCATGGCTTCTGATAAGAATTAAACTTCTTGCATTGTTGATGCAAACAGTTGTGACCTAGTGTCGTCATGTGGACCTTTCCACAAGGTATGTTGGACAGCGTTACCCCGATTAATTCGGGGTGGTGGCGGGAATTTAATGCCCGGGATGTCGCGCAACTGCCTTTGTGGGTTTGCTCCACCGCTGACGGCGGTAGTGTCCAGCTGTTTGCGGACACATGCGAGCAGTTAAATCCTATCAGTAAATGGCACGCTCCACCCGTCATATGACGGGCTCCTCGTGAGGGGGGTGTGATTAGCCATGGTTAATATCATCATCAGGGACGTCGCGTTAGTGACCGACCTGTGGTGTTTTGGCTCAAGTTTTGGGTTCCGTCGCGCCTCGAATGGGCGTCGCCGAACCCCTGCGTCGACCGACGGCATCTCGGGGGAGAAAGAGACCTCGGGCCGCCGCCAGGTTGGTAGGGACCAGTCGTGCGGCCTGTTGTCGACCAAGGTTGCGGGTTAACCCTTTTCTTGTTTGGTTTGTTTTCCTTTGGTTGTTGTTCTCTGGTGTGTGGGAAACCCTGATCTTTGGGACCGGGGATTGGTTTGCTTTTGGGGAACCTTTCTTTTGTGGCTTGTTTACCCCAACTTACCCATTGCCTGGGCACAGGCTCGTGCCCGAATTACACAAATAAAACAGCGGCATTCCATCTCCAAAATAGCCAGCAGAAAGGTAGATTTATCGGGGGGGGGGTTGCACATATATATATATATACATACATACACACAGAATTCTCCCTCTCTCTACATTTATGTATCAGGGAACCGTCAACCCTCTTTGTGTAGTCATGTGTGACCTACCGGTGGTATCACTCCAATCACGGACAGAGGAAGCGGTCATTTCCCACCCTGGCTCCGGGCCATGGCTTTCCAGATTGCTCACAAGCTGGAAGCCGCTTCGAAGGGCTGGCAGTTTGTTCCCTTCGGTTTTCCTCTTGGGTATAGATTTCCCAATGAACTGGACAGGAGGCCTCTGAAGAGGAAGGTCTCCAGTGCGGTTGGAAAAAGGGCAATCCAGATTCAAAATCAGGGGGAAACCCTTCTAAGCTTGTTGTCAACCATTTGTTCATTGGGATGCAACTGATCCATTCGTCCTTGTTCTTCGTGGCAAACCAGCCTCCACTGCCCACGCCCTATACGAAGAATTGCTGAAATGAGCGCCGATGTCAAATTCCACTATGGTTGCACAGAGCCTCTTTTGCTCAGTGGCAGAGCGTCAGTCTTGTAAACTGAAAGTGCTCAAGCTTCATCCTTGTGCCAGATGGTGGCAATGGGTTCTTAGGATTAGAGGTCTCAGATTGGTGCTTGGCTTTTCGCATCTTTTGAGGATGTGGGCGCGCCCGCCAGCCAGCCGCCGGCCCGGACGCCCAGTTGCCCTTGATTCGACCTCCGGCCGTGTCTTGTTCATCTTCAGGGGAGGTTGATCTCTGTTTTGTTCGGGTTGCACGAAGACGAAGAGGCTAACAAGCTTCCAATGCAATGGAGGATGCCAGGCCTGTCACAGGCATCTCACCGTTCTGGAGACTTCCAGTTGCTCAAGGCGATTTCCATTTGCCTCTTGGGTCGGAGGAACGAGGAACGAAGGGACTGGCCATCGGATTTTGTTTGGACCGCTTTGCGGTTCTTGGCATGTTTCTCAATTTCTTTGTGACGCTATTTTGGTCTGATAGTGGGAGTCTACAACGAGCATTCTAAACGATCCCTATTAAAAGAGCTATGACCCTGGCACATAGGTAGTCATTGGGAGCCGTACCAAAAGGAGCTATGGCAGCCTCACGGTGATGAGCGGCTGTGTATGACTTTCCCATTACTCTTGGGGTCTCCAATCCTGAGACAGTCATGACTATTTGCATGTATATGTATCTGCATATACATATCTACATATATACAAGTATCTGTTCGTTTCTTCCTTGATGTATATAATTCATTTGTTCATTGCATTATCTGAGTATCAGTCTACTGTATGCACACGACCGGAGCCGGCGCAGGCGCAGGCGCCGGAGCCGGCGCAGGTGCAGTTGCTGGGGCCGTTGCAGGCGGGGACCGCGCCGGACCCGCACCGTAGATTTGTTTGCAGAGGCCCAGCAGAGCATGGCTCTCGAGTTTTTTTTTGTGTGTGTGTTTAAACGTATTATTATTATTATTATTATTATTATTATTATTATTATTATTATTATTATTTTTATCATTATTATTATTTTTATCATTATTTTTTTTTTATTATTATTATTAGTATTATTATTATTATTATTATTATTATTATTATTATTATTATTATTATTATTATTATTATTTTTTTTATCATTATTATTATTTTTATCATTATTATATTTTATTATTATTATTAGTATTATTATTATTATTATTATTATTATTATTATTATTATTATTATTATTATTATTATTATTATTATTATTATTATTATTATTATTATTTTTATTTTTATTTTTATCATTATTATATTTATTATTATTATTATTATTATCATTATTATTATTATTATTGTTTTTATCATTATTATTATTATTATTATTATTATTATTATTATTGTTAGTGTTGTTAGTGTGGTTTGTGTTTCTTTTCCCCCCCATTTTTGCCAAAGAAGCCCGACGCCTGGGTTGACCCGGTCCCACCCCGCGCCCGCGCCGGCCGCAGGTGACCACGGCGCAGGTGGCGCAGACCTGGCCGCAGCTCGCGTCCGAGCGCTCGGTGCAGATGGCCACGTCCATCGGCGCGGGGGGGGGGGGGGGCGAGTTGGGGGGGGTGGGGGAGTTGGGGGGGTTGGGCAAGGTTGGGGAGGTTAGGGAGGTTGGGGAGGTTGGGGACTCGCGCTTCTCGCCAGGGAACTGCGAGGAGCTGATGTTCCGGATGCAAAGCGCCTTAAACGTCAGCCCGGTGCAGATTATCGGCCGGGGCGCCCAGAGTGGGGCCGAAACCACAGGAAGGAACGGGAGACTCTCAGGCTGGTTCTTAGGGGTCTCATGAGAGGTCAGAGCACTTTCTTGAGTTTCTGATTCAGCCAGGATTCATGCCAGGTCGGCAGCCCGGGAATCCTTGTTTGCCCGGGGCCAATAGGCGAATGATGGACTATTGTCTGGGGGAAGTCTTGAAATTGGTCTCTGGTTGGACTTGTTTGACCTTTGCATCACCAGCGCAAAGACACCCTCCTTGCAGGGGACCAACTGACGGCTCCTAGGATAGATTTTGGCCTCATTTAAAACAACATGTATCATTCAAAACGTTTCTACATTTCTGACTTGTCCAACGCCAAAGGTTTTCCAATTTGGAGCTTTTAGTTTGTTCGTTGTCGTTCAGTGGCCGGAACTTCCAACATGGTTTGACCTCCAGGATGGTTTCTCTGCTTCGAACCACGCCATGTGGCCATGGGTCAAAATCCAAATCGTACCTCCGTGAACATCCCAATCCCCACGAAAATAGGTTCTAAAATGGGTGGTGAATTCACCTACCCCAAAATGGTATCCCATTGGTTTTGACAACCACAGCCATGTGTCGGGGGTCTCGCAGCGGGCTTCAAGCGTGCCGCAGGGATGGAGGGCATCGCCGCCGGGCGGGTGCTGCCCGGCAGCGAGCCGTGCTTCTTACACGGCGCACGGGTGGGTGGGTGGGTGGGTGGGGTGGGGCCAGGGGCTGGGGGCCAGAGGCTGCGGGCCCTGTTTTGGAAGATGTGCGAAGACAAAACGGGGGCTTTTCTTTTTTTGTTGTTTGGGGGGGGGGGCGGGGTGTCCAGAAGGACCTGCAATGAAGTGCGACCAGTTCACTGTCAGCTGCGAGTCGGCTTGAGATCTTTTTGGGTAGCAAAGACCTTTTTCTTGCCGTGTGAACAGAAGAAGACGTAGCCACAAGATCCGCAAAAAGAGGAGAATGGTCCGGAACTAGGGACATCACGTGATCCCTCGGTTGCAAGTGGCAAGCGAGTTGGGGTTCTGAGGAGCTCAATGTATCACGAGCTTCGCAGCTTCGACCCGACCTCTCATTGCAAGGGGTTTGGCACACATATTATGGCCATGGGTCAAAATCCCGTACCCCCAGTGAACATCCCAATCCCACTAAAACAGACTACGATGGGTGGTGCAGCCAACCCAAAATGGTACCATTGGTTTTGACCCACAGCCGTATTTCAAGGGGACGTCTCTATACGAATCTATCCCTCAGCTCGGGAGCTCGGTTTGGCTTTTGCTCGGGCTTTGCTTTTGGCATGCTTCACAAGCTTTTGCTTCAGAGGTTCTACTTAGGGTTTGGGGTAAACAGAGATTCTCACTTTTTCTGGACGATCTCCTACTTCACACAGCGAAACCTGGTTCCTTTTTTGTGAACAGAGATGTATTTATCAGTTCTTTGGTTTGTTTCTTGCCCCATCGGAGGGAGCTCGAAAGTTGGTTCTTGGTGTTCCCCTTTGGATTGCAGGAACTCCGTCGGGATGGACGAAACTCCCCCCCGGCATCGGTTGGGAAGAATATCTCTTCCAGCGGATTCGGTCTCTGAGCGTACGGGTAAGTGAAGCTTGAGAAAGCAATGGCCGCCATGCAACAACTTATCTCCCGCTCTCCTAGCAAGCGGCCAAAGCACATTTGCCGTCCTTACGTACATCTTGTGGCCATCCTTGGTGGTTGGCCCATCTGAAATCGAGTTTCCCCTTGGGGTGGATGTTTAGGTTCAAGTCAAGAGTGCCCTATTCATGGAGCCATCTGGAAATGCGATGGCTCGCCAGGGAAACTCGCGCCGCCGCGTCTTGACATCAAGGTCAGATGCCGTGATCCAGGAGAGGCCCTTGGTCGCTTTGGGAAATCAGAGACCCACTGAGTTTTTTCACTCATTCTCCCACAAACACAGAGCAACTCACTCATTTGCCAACAAACTCCAGAGGAAGTCCTTTCACACAATCATAGGGCAGAGAGCTGCACCAAACTTGCCCATGTCTATTAGTCACGGAGGTTCGTCCTTTCCATCTTTCTCCCCAAGTGTGAAGGTAGGAGTCACCCATAGGCACATGGCCAAGATGGCTTTCCCAGCTTCCCACCAAGAGTTTGTGCACCGTGGACCGATCAACGTGTGTTGCCTAGGCTGGCGTTTTGGTCCTGGTTCATATCAATATTCCATCCACCTTTGTCATGGGTTTTCGGGTAGAGGCCCGCCAAAAAACCTTGATTTGAGTTGGTGTGTCTATTTGTTGGTGTTTTTTTTAGGTGCTTGGCCAGTTTGAAGGGGAGACGCAGTCCGGAGGGGAATCTGGCCCGCTCCAAAGGAACAGTCCCTGAAGCTTGTGGTGCGGTTGCGACAACAACGTCCACCTGAAGGTTTAAAGGGATGCGTTCACCATTGGTAGAAGCTTGCGGCACAGAGCCATCAAAAAGCCAATCGGTGCTTTCGCTTTCCTCGTGATCCTTTACACATGGCTTGGGGCTTCGGGCCTGTTTTCATTCGCTGCTAATTTGTTCTGAATCACGAGCATGTTTTTTGTCTTCGCCATGTTTTGCGGTCGCAATGCCTATGCCTATGCGCATATGGCTTTCCTTTTGCCTTTCCTGGCTATTGCACACATCGCCGCATTTGGTTTTTGCGTGACATATCGCCTTTTTCTGTTCGCTGCGCTGTGGGGTCCGTTTTGCCAACTTCCGGCCAGGAGTCGCGCTTCACGTTGCCAACCTGTGTCAGCAGTCACTGAGCTAGATCGCCAAGTTGCAGCTCTCTCAAAATGAAAGAGCTACGCAGGTTTTAGTCTTGGGTTCCATGTACCAAGGGGCCATTTTGGTATGTTTATTTGAGCCACAATCGTTTTCTCATGTGTGTGCCGCGCAGTCAGAAGGGGGTTTCCGGGGGGTCGATGGCCAAGGCCAAAGAAGGCCAGATACGGCTGGGCATTGGGCTAGGGACCCTGACAAGCACCAAGTGAGGGTGTCTTCTCCAAAATTGAAGAAGGGGGGTCTGTTTGTGGTGCAGAATGAAGTGATCCTGGAACCACGGCGTCCATCGAAAAATCGTGGGATGGATAGATGACTTCAGAAGTGCCAGATGGGATCGATCCAGAATCCGGGTTTCACTTGGGCGTTGGGATTAAGATGATGGGTTGGACCCTGAAGAACATGTCCAACATCAATTCAGCACCACCCCGATCTTTTTCTTGGACAGTTTCATCGGAGCTGACCAGAGAGCTTTGGGACTTGGCCAGTGAGGCTTTGTCAGTCTGCAGAGTTTTCTGTGCTTTTCGCCATTTTCAGCTCAAGCAGTGCAAGACATGTGATGGATGCGGTTGCCTCATTTTTACTTTCGTCAGACGACCTGAACCACAAGCTCAAAACCTTATGGCGAAAAGGCTTTGCCAAGATGGTTGCTTCATTTGGGTGTTCCCTTTCCAATCGGCAAGAGGTTACCCACAGCAAAGGATGCGCTGGGTCCAAATATGTTTGGCAACTTCAATTTCGTTCCGCCAACCGAGGGAACCCCACTCTTAGCAGAGTATCTCGGGTTTGGCGCGGAAACATAGGTTCTTGCTGCTTTTCTATATACACGAACTTCTGGCGAATTGAGGGGGACAACCAGCTGAACCACCTCGAGCGTCGAGCGTCGGCGCTAGCCTTAAAAAACACAGCAGGCGCTGGACCCGCGCTGATGAAGGGCGGCCATGGACAAAGCTCCGGGCCGATGGCTGCGACGCCCGCTGGCGCCGCTGCGGCTGGCGCCTCGCCTGGTGAATTGGCTGTTGGCCGCCTACGCGGCGTCCAGCATGCAGGGCTGCCTGCCCCCCGACTGGTCCTTCTGCGACTGCGACTTTCGCGACAACTTCTGGAGCCTTGGGACAGAGTTCTGGGCGGCTTAGTCGCTTTATTATTTTTAGTGCCCCTTGTTTGCTTTGAAACAGCCTGCCAAAAAGGGTACCTGCGAACACACGACACACTCACATGACGCACGTGCCGCGGTCAAAACTCGCTTTTGCTTGACGTTGGTAGGATGGTCAGCCCTTTAGAGAAACGTTCTTACGCTTGCATGCTCCAAGTCAAGCAAACCCATACATGCTCTGTGTAGATTCTTCAGCCAGGGTCCCAGAAAGCAAGCGTTTTCCCTAACAGTGCCACTATTTTTGGAGTAGGAGCTTTTGGCTTTTTCAAGATGATGGTCTTCAATCTGCCAAAGCCTTGTCTGGGAAAGAGAGTGGATCACTTTCAGCTTTTCGGGTGGGGGAAAGCTGGGGCGGTTTTGGCGTTTGAGGGCCAGTCAGGGATGTCTTTCCGCGGCGTAAGATGGAATTTCCTTTGCCCCACCAGACACCCTCACGAAAAAGCAGCAACTGCACAGTTGCTGCAGAAATGATCTGTACACTTTCACCTAGAGAAGCAGTGTTTGGGGCTGGAAACAATCTTAGAACACCGTTTC